GGATTTTTGTGTTCGCCAATCTTTGTCCAATAGGTCGGCATGTCTCACCCACATAACATCAACCACAGGAGCAAACAATCTTGTAGCAACCGGATCTCGATAATGGGTCATATTTCTCTCTAAAAGATGGCATAACAGAAGAAAGTGTGAGGGTTTCTTTGAACATTGTTTTTATGCCCCAATTCTTTACTAATTTGCCTATATTTTTTGAGAGAAGGCATACAACTAAGGAACTCTGCCAATTATTGGCTATATTCATTTAAAAATTCGTATGATTTTGTAAAATTGCTAGATCAGCAGACAATTTTAGAAGAGAATAGGCTAGTAAGTTTTGACGTTATGTCTATGTAAACAAACATTCCTGTCCAAGGATCTATTCAAGCTCTGATACAAACTCTGGAGGAGCATCCAGAAACTTATTAGCCTATCCATGAGTACCACATATTTTACCTTTGATGGTAAGTTATACGAACAAACGCATGAATTAGCTGAGATCTTGTCTGTCTCCCATCTTAGCGAACAATTATATAACCTAATTTCTTATGTTATCTCTGGATATTTTTTCGGAGTTTGTATCAGAGTTTGAATAGCTCTTTGGATAAGAATGTTTGTGTACATAGACATAACGTCAAGACTTATTATTCTATCCTCTTCTGAAATTGTCTGCTGATCTAGCAATTTCACAAAATCATACGAATTTTTAAATGAATATAGCCAATAATTGGCAGAGTTCCTATTTTGTATGCTTTCTTTCAAAAAAGATAGCCGAATTAGTAAAGAAGTTGGGCATAAAAACAATGTTCAAAGAAACCCTCACACTTTCTTCTGTTATGCCATCATTTAGAGAGAAATATGACCCATTATCGAGATCCGGTTGCTACAAGATTGTTTTCTCATGTGGTTGATGTTATGTTGGTGAGACATGCCGACCTATTCGACAAAGATTGGGCGAACACAAAAATGCTTGCAAAACAAGCTGGATCCTACAGTCAGAAGTGCCAGAACATATGCTAGAAAGTGGACATGAAATAGAATGGTCTTAAACTAGTATGTTTGCTGATTACGGTACGTATGTGTTTAAAAGAAAGATAAGACTATTGAAATTAATAACTATACAATTCAAGGAATATGCAAGAAAATGGGTATCGAAAGCTAAGAAACAGCGGGACATCGCGGAGACAGGACACGAGATCAATTGGAAAATACCAGAAAGAAGGGCCTAATATAATGAGAACACAAAGAAACGAAATATTAGATAGGCCATTTACATGTCTGCGAAATTGACTGAACAAATGATTGGAGGAAGGCAGAGTTAACGATAACTTTGCCTATTGCTTAAGCAAACTCGAAGAGAGCAAGGACACATGACTAGCAAAAAAGAGATGCCTGGATCAAGGACTTATCTTCGACCAAAGGAAAATTGATCGTAAGGGTGGTGGGAACTTTCGTAAACCAAATGATGGCATTCTCAGTAAATGCAGTCCTCTCGGAGAAACAACTTTGGGGGTATTTCGATCGCATAATCAAGGACAGGGATAATCACGACCGTAATAGAAATTCGGCATTCCGTCCAAACGGACTAGAAATCCACTTGAAATACAGCATACGACAAGAGACTTGTCTCTTTGACGAGTTGTAATATAGTGCAACGAATGGTGAAACTCACTGACGATGCCGGCGAAACGTCTGGGAATGTACCACGTCCACGGTCCGACTCTGAAAATAATTATATATTCAATTGACTCAGGACAAGGTGCGTTTCTATCAGTCTTCCTACCACCATGACCGAGTTGCGAAAACAAGGTCAAACAACTTCTATACAACGAAAGGAGACTGCGACCACACAAAAGGCTGTTGTGAAAGCAAGGTCAAACAACTTCTATACAACGAAAGGAGACTGCGACCACACAAAAGGCCACACCATCTTGACATATCTTCGATTAAGAAACTTTTGTTGATAAAAATCGAATCATGCGTTGCTGAGCCGAGCGAGGGCTGGACAGAACCCGCTATGGATCAATTTGTGGTGCTAAGGCAGTTGAGGTGGCAATAAGCACTTGACTGAAACAGAACCTCTGACGCATGACACTAAGACAGATGACGCGACCGACCGCGTGTCGAATCCATCGCTCAGACTTGACAGGTAATTCATCCTAGAGCGTACAGCGAAAGGACTTAAAGCGACATATTTCCTGAGTTAATTATGTATCATGAGGACAGCCACTTATTAGAAGAAATAAATCATTGCTGGACTATCAGAATGACAATTTTAATCAATAACCAGGTGCCAGTCTGTTGGATCACAGCGAGGACAAGCAAGCACCAAGTCTGCATCTCCTTTTAGGTTTCGGGAAAGCATGGCACCGGAATCGACTGCAGCTCCGCCTTGCCAAGTACTCGGCTTTATAATAGGGATGACAAGCACGTCTGCACCTTAAAAGTACCAGCATACAAGATATAAGAGGTTGCCATGCTTTAAAAAATTTACCGATCGAGAGAGGAGTCAGCGAGAAGTTATATACAAAAAGCATCAAAAATGAACCTGTACCTTAAGACTGATGGGCACTAACAGTATTTAACATTTAATGCTCATGACCCGCGGAACTCCTTTTCAAACAATCAGTAACGTGAGCATAGAACCGGTACAAGTAGTTCATTTTTCAATGGAACTAATCTTTATAAATTCCAATTAAGTATTTGAAAACGAAAAACCACAAGTGCTATAACAAACAGAACAGGAATGCGAATGATATCGGCAGTAGAAGGGATAAACAATTTAGTTGATTATATTAGAAATAATGATGC